AATAATAATAATAATAATAATAATAATAATAATAATAATAATAATAATAATAATAATAATAATAATAATAATAATAATAATAATGATAATGATACACTGAAGAGCTTAATTCCGAGAACGACGAAAACTGGAAAAAGCTTAAGAATCAGATACATCTTTGGATAAAATTTTAGCATGTAACCTTTTTTTTTCTCCTACAAATTCTGATGCAGAACTTGAAGCTAGTTTTTCATTTTTGTGTTCAACAGGGTCAAATCAAATCAAAGGAAACCGATCTTCAAAACTCTGCAATTACATTTCTACACAAGGAAAAAGATCTTCATAACCGAATAGAAGAGTTGGAAGAAAGATTAAAACTGTACCAAAGCACTGGTCATGACGTCGAAAAGGTTTGTATAGTTGTAGTTTTAGTGATTTTCTGCTACTGCTAAAATGTTTGCATTAACAATGCCTACCTAGCTGAATAAACTTCCTCTTGTTTAACGTTTAGGGGTACGGAGACAAAATTCCAAATATCACGAGCATGATATCCAACGAAAAGAGGTGCGTTTTATATTCCGTTAATCAAAGTCGTGTATGATAAAAATAACTATATAAATAAATAAATAATCGAATGTGAAGTCCGGAGCATTTGTGATATTTCAGCAACGATTCCGCGAAAACTGCAGCACACATTGAAGAATTAAACAACCAAATGGCATTGCTGAAGGAGAACAATAAATCAATGGAAGAGGACTTGAAGGAAATGCAAGAGAGATATTTGGACATAAGCCTCAAGTTTGCAGAGGTCGAGGGAGAAAGGCAACAACTCATAATGAAACTACGTAATGTCACTTATGGAAACAAATAGCTCGTGATATCCGGAAACGGCTGTTTCGAACCACAGTTAATCAGTAAGTTAATTGTAATGTATATGATCGGAACTATGACCGTTTTACCTTACATGTTGTATGATGTGCCTGAAGAACTACTGATTCTTTTTATTCAGATCATAGTGCTATAAAGTCTATAATATCATATATTTTGTACCTTTTTTTTGCTTTGAAGAACATCAATCATGAAACAAAAAAATAAAAAATAAAGATGAACGATGATCACTTGTTGATCAACAATTGTGACACGCGGGCCAGTAGAAAACATTTATTGAATTCCTGCCATAATTACCAAGATTGTTCTGCAATTTCTTTTATCAAATAAATAAATAAATATAATGATATAATTCCACTATTAGGAATCACGTCGCTGTATGCTTCTTCAGTTTGAAAACCATCACCTAAATAAATTCAAGAACTAAGTTAAAAATAAACGATTTTGTTATAGAGTCATCGAATGACTCGGCTAATGGAGTCATTCATAGTTATTCGCAAATGTTGTATTGACGTGTGTCCTACAATAAATACACATTGGACACGTGTCAATATATAACGTTATGGATTTACTCCATAAGAGAATCCGATGGCTTCATAGAATTTTAGCAAAATAAGATCCCTTTTATTTTTATTTTTTATAAATTTTTAAACTAAGTCAAAAATGATTAACAGGTGTATGAAGACTAAAACTCCCCTTAATAGTATGATTTACCTTATCCTTTACTACTCCTAATTTAATCATTACTCATTAGTAGTACTTAATTTCCTCTTAAGCAAAACATCACTTCAACTAATAAAATATCATGATATTTTGGCGAGACCAAGTCAAATATCGTGACACGAGTTGACATTGTATTAGTACGTATATTATAATTAAAATATACACTAATTTATTTTTATTTAAACTCAAAAATGTCCATAAATTTGAATTTTGTTTAGCGGGTATTTGTTGATTTGACTTTCATAGATTACAATTGGTGCACAGTAAACTCATAATCTATATTTGTTACCAATTATATTTAATTTCTAAATCTAACTTTCAAAATCTTAATTAAAAATATAATGAAAGGGTTGGATTCTTCTCGAACAAATCTTTTAGCATATTATAGCAAGTTGTGTATTGGAAAATGACATTTAAATTGTTAATCAAATTGAACTCTTCACTTTAAGGGTGAGTTCGTTTTATTTGTTTAAATAAATACATGAAACCGATCTTAAATAATTAAATAAATTGTTGGCAAATATTTTTATTTTTTATTCTTTTTATAGGCTTCATAAGAAAAATCGGTTTTGATGGTATACAAAGTCCTTAAAATTGCATACGTAATTGATATAATAGTAAATTTAATATTAATTTGCTGCTAATTAATTGATCACGATCCATAAAAATAGACAACATATATTACTCATTATATTTTATTCAATCAATAGAGTGGGTCAAACGAAGTTAAATAGTTCGATATTATTTATTTTACTAATGTTTAAATTTTAACATATAACTAGTAAAATGCTCGTGTATTACACGGGTGCTTGTTAATTTTTTTTTTTAATAAAATCTAAAATTAATAAAAAAAGTAGTTGAAAATTTGAATACTTTTTTATAAAAAATATATGGTATTATATATTTTAGTATGACATTTTTATTTGTGCGACTTACTTGTGTTATATTATAATAACTAGTACAACGCTCGTGTATTACACGGGTGCTTGCTAATTTTATTCTTAAAATCTAAATAATGAGAAAAAGTAGTTGAAAATTTAAATACTTTTTATAAAAATATATATTATTATATATCTAGTATGACACTTTTTATTTGTGCGACATACTTGTGTTACATTATAATAATTTTGTTAACTTACAACATATAACTACATTAAACATAAATATATCAATTGTGAAATAATTTTATTTTTCTAATAAATTTTAATAAATAGTATTATTTTTTTATTATTATAAAGATAAATATAATTTATTTATTTCATATATACAATATGGACGTCAAATCGAAGATCATCAAAAGATGGTTAATTTGATATATTATATAGGTAAAACCGATAACGAATAAAAAAAAGTTATCAACTTTTAAAATACATTTACAATTCAATAGCTAATTGCAGGAAACAAATCAAAAGTCATAGATATATCAGCCACTTAATGCCTCACTATGTAAAATTACAAAGAATTCAAGGGTTATATTAGTACAAGTGATATTAAAGTACCTAAGTTAGCTAAATAAAATTTATGGAATGTCCGAACCTAGATTATTAATTATTAATATATAAATATTATTTGTCCAAACCTAATTACGATGCATGATTCTTCGCCAAGTAGGATTTCGAAGCACCAGAATCAGCCATGTAGGCTCAGCGCATTCGGGAATTATATATAGAGAGGATTTTTCTAACTTATAACATATAACTACATTAAACATAATATATTAATTGAGAAATAATTTTATTTTTATAATTATTTTTAATACATACTTTTTTATTATTAAAAGATAAATATAATTTATTATATACAATATGGATGTCAAATCAAAACTCATAAAAAATGATTAATTTGATATATATGTAAAACCGATAAAAAATATAAAAGTTATCAACTTTTAAAACACGTTTACAATTTAATGGTTATAATAGGAAATAATATTAAAATACAATACGAGTAATGCTCCCCTACCCACGGTGGGCGCATGTTAATATGTCCACCGCTTATGTGGCATGTACACATTGATGGTGTATTTTTTTGAATATATTAACATCATCAATGTGTGCATGTCACATAAGCAGTGGGCATATTAACATGTGCCCACCGTGGGTAGGGGAGCATTACTCAATACAATTAATACATTTAAAATGATCATAAATAAATCAACATATTTATGGTAATTCGAACATAATTTTTTTTTAGATTGTAATTAAATTAAAACTAGTATTAATACCCATGTACAACATGGGTGTTGAGTTAATGAATATATGTAAAGTTATTTATGTCTAATACCAAACCTAACTCCAGAACAAAAATAATATAAAAACAACATCACGAAACATAGATTTTCGCCATGTCAGCATCCGAAGCGTGAGAATCTGTCACCTAAGCTCAACACGTTTTGAATTAATATATAGGGAGGGATTTATCAAAGCCAAATACTAAAACATGTAATTTTGACATCTAGAATCTCGAAGCATGCGAGCCTGCCACTAAGGCTCAGCATATTCATCTAATGTTTTTCTTCACACCTCATAAATCAGTCATTAATTAGCTTTAAGTAATAGCTGTTACCCAATTAATCCCATCAATCCGATGTTTCCTGCTGCACCTTTTATCCTCACAGACAAACATGCTGTAATTAATCAAGACTGATTATTTAAAATCCTAATAAAGAAAAAGGAAGAAGAAGAACAAAAAATACTCTCTTTTTTTCAGTTGCACTAAGAATTTATGGCATTCCCCTTTTTCTCAGTCAATTGTGTTGCTTTCATCCATTTTTGTTTGTGCTGATTAACTCTTTCTCGCTGCGTTTTTGTGTGTGTCCTTTCTCTTTTATCATCAAAATCTTGTCTTTTGAATCTGGGTCGTCCTCATTTGTGCCTTTTGAGCTTCAACACAACTAGCTACTGTCATTTGCCATTGAGGGCTCTTAGAGAGAGAGAGAGAGAGAGAGAGAGAGAGAGAGAGAGAGAGAGAGAGAGAATCTTTAATTCCCTCATATGCATTTATGCCATTTTTTTCTTTATCCCATTCAACATTACTTTATATTCTTCTGATGAAATCTCGAAAATCACATCTTGTTCTTATCTTTACTGTTTCTTTATTAACCTACTGATTTGAGCTTGCCTGCGTTTCTGGTTCACTCGTTTCCGTTCTTGAATCTGGTTTGTGGTTTTACTGGAACTGATGTTTTATATGGGTTTTTCAAGCTCTTGAGTGTGTGTGTGTGTGTGTGTGTGTGTGTGTGAGTTGAAGTGTTCGAAGGAAGAATGAAACCATTTGCTTCATTTAAGGTTCTTCTCTGTTTAGGATTCTTCCTTGCAGGCTGCGCAGCATTACCCAAAAATGAAGGCAAGTTTTGAGGGCAACTGCTTAAGTGAATGTTGATTCTTAATATAATCCTCATTTTTTTAATAATTTATGTTCATTGCTTGATTCTTGATCTTGGATTCTTTTTTGTTCATAGCTAAAGATTAACTGAATGGTATTCTGTGAAGAATGTAACCATAGCTGAAATGCAGTGCAGACGCATTTCTTTTCATTAATTAATTTAGTTTCTTAGTTTCTTGATTTAATTCACATTTCTAAGAATTTATTTCTATCCATTGTCCTAAATGTGATATGATGTTTTATTTTATCATTCAAGGTTTTGGATTCGTTTTGTTCGTAGATAATGGTTAGGTGAATGTTGCTATGTTCGAGTGTAGATAGCTATAGCTGCTGATTTGATGGGAATAGGTTTATCTGACCGTAGAATACCCTTTTTTTTTTCTTCAGTTGATGCTTTGATTTCATTCAAGAAAGCTATTTTTGATGACCCTTTGCTGGTTTTTTCCAATTGGAACACTGTGGACCCGAACCCTTGCCATTGGTATGGCATTTTTTGTTCCAAGGCTGGTGATCGTCTTCTGAAACTGTAAGTTTTCCTGTCGAAGTTACATCATCAACATCAACATCAACATACCCAGTGTATTCCCAAACAGAAATAGAATCGCGATGAAATTCACATAAATTTTTATTTTTACATTAAAGAAGAATTTATCATGATAGAATCTTATTTATCTTTTGGTGATGTTATTTGAATCTGCAGAAATATTTCGGGAAAATCCTTAAAGGGTTTTATCGCGCCAGAGTTGAAGAAGCTGTTGATTTTACAAGAATTGTAAGCCTTTTTCTTTATTGATCAATGCAAAATTTTATGCAGCAATTGTGGTTTTGCCATAAGTTTGAACTGATTGTATTATGTTTATGCTGACCAAGAATTTTGCACGGGAATTTGCTGATGGGCTCAATACCTAGTGAGATTGGCCTATTGAAAAACCTCAAGGTGCTCGATTTAGGCTCAAACCGGCTAACAGGGAATATTCCACCTGAGCTCGGGAACTTAAGCAGCATTCTGAAAATGTTAGTGGAAAAATGAGTTTATTAACATTAAAGAAAATAAGTTGTTGTTGATCTTCTTTTTTCCATTCCTCACCGGGATTTGTTTCTGCTGCGTTCTTTTTTATAGAAATCTTGAATCCAATGGGTTAACCGGAAAGTTGCCTTCGGAGCTTGGTAATTTGGAATACCTTGAAGAGCTTCGATTAGATAGGAATAGGCTTCTGGGATCAGTTCCTGCTCATAATGCCTCCGAGAGAAGGTGAGTAGAAAAACACTATCATGCGACTTTAATTTGTTGAATAATATGAAACATTGACATACTATCATCTTTATTAGCAGCGATTTCTGTATAATGAAATTTGTCTTATTATGTAATGAGCTGATTGTAATCCTTGTTCATGTATTGTCTAGACATAGCTATCATTTTTCCATTATAGTTATTTAAGTCTAATTGAATCAGAAAATTGATAGTTCTTCTTTCTACTAATAAATGAGAGCAATGTATTGCATTGTAATTGCCATTATACTCTATTTTTAATGAAATTATTGTTGAATCTTCTTTTTGAGAACATTAACTCAGTTCGCCTTTTTTTTCTAAAACTACATTAGCTTGCCTTCCAATGGAACTCTTATGGGATTTTGTCGATTCTCGCAACTGAAAGTAGCTGACTTCTCGTACAATTTCTTGGTTGGAAGCATACCCAAGTGCTTGGCATATCTTCCTAGGTACTTTACATTCCTAATTCTCTTTCACTTTTTTTTTTTTTTTTTTTTTTTTT